AAAGAGGAAATAAATCATTGTGAATAGTAACAAAGGCAGGAGAAAAGCTAGCCTGTAATTTTTATTTTTTACTTTTTTAAGGAAGAGGATGGAAATATCATTTCTGGGGGTGCTCATGGATAGAATATTGAGCTGATCAATTGAAAAATTGAAAGGTTTTAGGAAGGTAAAGAGAGAAAAGCAGGCTTGTGATGACTACTAGAACCTTGCAAACAGCACTAGAGAGGTGAGATGTCTATTTGGAAGAAACTGAGCACGACTGAAGAGAAGGAGTTGAGAAGGAAGTGAAAAGAGGAAGCAAGTCATCTGGTCTGGGATACTCAGAGGTACCTGTCAAACAGCCCTATGTCTTATCTATGCCCCTCAAAAGGGAACAAATCTGTAAATGCTGAGGCCATATTTGCGTTTAATTAACTTTCATACTCAGGAGTTCTTGATTCCTAATCCTGGCTAAGGAAGAAATGAAGTGACATCTTGACATCCCAATGTTAAGTAGATATGATTCAAGAGATAGAGATCTGAAGAAGATTAATAATCTGCGTATGATTAAGAAGCAGAGTGTGGAAGTAAAGGTCAATTTTTATAATTGTACATGATCAGCAGCAGAATCCTGCAGTCTGGGTATTTGACTTAGAAATATGTGATCTGAAAAAGCAGTTGAGCAGCAAGATGATAGAAGTTGCTGATGATAAAAAGCTACTCAGGGTAGCAAGGCTGGGGGCAGGCTAACAAATTGCAGAAACACTCCTTAGGAGGATAAAAACTGGGCAATAGAACAGCACATGAAATTCAGTGTGGATAAACTGAAGATATCATCAGATTAAAAAAAAAACAACAATTTTTTTTTCCCAACTTCATAGATAAAAAAGCAGTTGCTTGTGTGACTAATTTTTTCTTGGAGTGAAAACAGGACACTGCTGAATAGCAGACAAAAAAGTACAAACTACATTTCTTGTCAAAGAACTGTGAAATGGAAACGTGTCATTATTTAACTGTAGAAATCCACATCTCACCAACATCTCACTACTGCATCCATCTTTGACCTCCCATCTCTAAAGAAACATATTAGAATTGAAGATGATAGTAATGATAGAGAGGTGCTGAGCCTTTGTTTTCTTTCTTTCCCTGTTATGATAAAATTATATGGTATATTATTCTGGTTAACTGTGGAACAAATTTTAATATCTTTAATATTAAAAGATTAATTATTACTTTATTAGAAAAAATTACCTATAACTTACCTGAACTTTCCAGTTTTCTGTAATGTTAAATGAAGGAATGGCACTGTTTTTCATGCTGGTACAGTACTGCTTACTCTTTAGTGGGTCTCAGCTCTTTAACTTATATATGCAAGTAAATGACAATCTTTCATTTTCTTTCCACAATAGGCTGTATTTCAAATTCTTTGTTTTAAAGGCATCTCAAATGGAGAATTAACATCATTTAAGTACAAAACTAGTTACCCACTCAGTGGTACACTGCGTCACATACTGCCTTGCACTAGATTAAAAACAACAACAAAATAATCAAGGAGAACACATCACACACAGAACCAAAGGAACACAAAGAGGAAGCAGGGCTCTGATCTAGCTGCAGATGCCTCTGCTCATTGAAGGAGAGTAGGATTAGATGACCTTTAAAGGTCCCTTCCAACTATTTTATTGGACTCTAGGAAAGACAAAATATGCTATACAAATTTGCTCCATCACAGTTAACTCTGATATTCTACATAAGCAGTGAGTAAATTCAATACCTACCTTCTGTGGGACTTCTGCATTTTTTTTCCTCACAAAGGACCTAAAGAAAAATAGTCTCAGTGCTGTGGGGGTTTGCTGGTCATAATAGTGTAAAGATTTCTTCAAAGGCTTGAATAGTTGATGAAAAAGACTGTCTGCTATGACAAACAGCTATGCAGTAAGGATTCCATTGGAATGAGGTAAAAATACATCTAAACTATAGGAATCTACTGTTGAATTGAGATGTTTCCCCTCGTACAGCTATGTAAGTGAAGTTCTTACCTTCAGGGTGAGAGTGAGATTCCCTTCAAATGAGCTTGCAACTGAGTAATGACCAAAGCAAAATTACTTCAAAAAATCTCTATGAACTCCGTAAATGTTAAAATCTTGAAATGAAAAAAAGCCCAAGATATCTCTTTCAGTGCAAAAGAGACATAAAGTAATGCCTCCTATTTATTTCCATGGAAACGACAACAAAGAGCACAATAACACTATTTGACAGAGCCATTCCACAGCAGCAAAACACTAGTTTTCAACATATTCACCACCTTTAGCCGAGCATTTTCGCTAGTGATGAACAAGAGCCCGCATGCCTGTCAGACTGTCCCTCTGCTGCCATCTGTCACATAACCACAAAGCATAATGGAATATTGGTGGGAAGGTTCAACCTCTACTGCCACACCACCAACATCTGCCTCTGGCGTCACAGGCCAATATAATAAATCACTTTCAGAGCAGTCATTGTAATACATCTGTCTATGCAGCAATGATCAAGGAAGTTCTCTTCTAAACTGTAAAAGAAAGTGGACAGCAATTCCACCATCGCATAGAGAAAAATTCTTACTATTTCATTTTGTGACTAGATTGTTGCCAGATGCTACAAATTTATATATTTCTCAAACAAAATTGCTTCCAATGGCTTATCTCCCTTGGTACTGTATCAAGATGGTTGCTTGTTGAATGTACTATTTGAATGAACAATAGCTCTATATTTATTCCAATAAGTCAGAACACCTTGAGAACTCTGAACATCTAACTGAAGGATTATTTAAGTCTTCAAGAGAATTCTATATATCAAAAGCCTGCTACAACCCCTCATGTAATTCTACCTCTCAAATCAGAATCTACATTTCCACCTAGATTTTTCAAGTGTCTTAATGTCTGCTAGAAATTGCAATATGCATGACTTCTATGGGGTTTGCTTCCCTTTGAGGTTTTTTTCCAGACCACATTACTTAGAACAGCAAGCATCAGGCACACAGACTATTCTCTTTTAAGGCTACAGCACATCAAATACCATGAGATTTGTAGAAACAGGTCTTTGCACATGAGGAGGATCACGCCTATTCCTCAAAATACAGTGTTTCAATAACATATGCTAATACTATATCTTTAAATAAAGTACTAGACTTCTTTATATATGCATCAAATAATAGTCTGTATTATCTCAGTTTACATTTTTCTCAGAGCTTTCTGTCTGACAAGCTCTTCTATTTTGCACACTGTAGATGGGAGAAAACTTAATTTTTCCTAGCATTCTATCTGTGATGATAATGCTTAAGTTACATGAAAGAGCATCATCTGTACTTGGATATCAATTTCAATCTTTTCTTCTTTGCTTACTTCCTCGTAATTCTCCATTCAATCTATTTGGGTACATTAATATGGTTCACTATTTTTCTGACTATATATTCTAATCTTGTCAACAATCATTGCTGTACCTTTTCTCTTCATCTTTCTAAATATGTGCTTTCCTGAATAAGTTTTAATTTGTAAAGATATCTTAACTGCAAATTCAGGGGTTGTATGAGAAATTTCTCTCTTACTTTGTGTTTTTATAATGAGCTTTTGTCTTGTTGAAGGAGATTCACTTTTTGGGCTCTTAATATTAGACAATCTACAGATACTCCATAACCATGAACTGTTGTTAATCACATGGGAAGATGAATGAAATATCATAAGTAACTGTACAGTACCATAAATATAATTTGAAAAAAAAAACAGGTAGCCACTTACACTCATACACTAGATATGGACTGTTATCTTGACCACTTCCTGTCATATAGATACTTTCCTTAACCATATGATTTTAACTTAAGAAAACAGCATAAAAAATAACATTATTTGTGTTTAGGGAAAAACGATTTTTTGGCACATTCCAATTAAATGTATAGTCAGTGGAGCATTCACTTGACAGATTATAATCTACTACTCATTATAAGTTCAGTTGTTTCAGAGCTATTGCAGAAAAAGCTTTAAAGTATTTTCTTTTGTTCTGAAGTGGAAAAGCAATATTTCATTAGTTTCCTTGTGTTCTAAAGCAACTTAGCTGAAAAAAGCTGATCAAGAGTTATCTGCCCAAACTGAAACAATTCAGGAAGTTTTCAGTTCTGATTAGAAGGAATTAAAATGAAATTTTAATTATACTGATTGTCACAGCTCTCACCAGCTCACTCTTCGGTTAAGATAGCTAGAGAGCTTTTTGATTACTCATGTACCTTCTATATTCTCTAACATATACAGGCAGCTGATTTACTGCTGCACAGTTCTCTGCAGAACTTCAATAAGCATGTTTTACCAAAGCCAAAGATTTGTGTACGCATATGTATACACACACTTGTGTCATATCTTTTAAAATTGAAGGAGGCGGGAGAAGAAAGAAAAACATGTCTAAAGTAACTGGGAGTGGCAAGGAAATCTCCCAAACCCTGAAGTGGGATTTTCCATCTCAATATTTGTTTTGAACTATAACGATATGGCTCTCGCATCTCATTCACATATTTTTCAATTAGAAAGAAGGTAGTTTTTCTCCAACTTTATACACCAAGATAGTTCTACAAGCTACTGTCTGCAACTTTGAAGTGGAAATGAAACTTTGAAATTTCTTTCTAAAACAATGCCTGCAATGAATTATCCCTTTTTAACTTGACTAATTAGCTTCACTTCCCCTGAGTCCCTCTCTAGTCATTTCTTTTAACTTCAATGTCACCCTTATAGGATGACACAATTGATCCACATACAAACCCATTATCACAAGTAGGCTCATGTTTCGATGATTATAACAGAAAGGAAGTAAACCACTAACAGGAACATCAGTTTGATAGGTGTAATAAATGAAGAGAATCTTAAAAATAAATATTGTGTATCTGCCAGCAGATAGCAATCCTAGAATTATTTTAGGTCCATGGCACCATATCTTTAAATGAACATATACTGATTTTACTTTTAGGGACACATTTGTATGATATACACATTTATTATACATTGCATTGAAAGTGACAAAAATATTCTTTTACACTTCAGTTAGAACAGCATTCATGTTACTGTAGCCTATTTTCTATTATTAACTTTCACAAAGGTCAGCAGTTTTTTTATTAGATATTCATAGCATTTTCTTACCTATGGAGAGCCTTTTCTACAAAGAATACTTCTAATTTACATTTAGGGTTCTCTCTCACAAGCACTCTTATGAAAATGTAGAAGTGACTTAACAGTCCAGGAACCAATATGTTTCTGTAGCCAATGCAGTTAGTTGTCGCAAGGAATTTTTCTTTCGTTTTGTCAATTTAACTTATTTTCTACACCTAAATGGGCTAAGAAGAAACTTTGGTACATTTGGTACATAGAACAATTCATCACTTCCAAATACAAAGAGGAAAAAACATCCACAATAATGATAATTTCATTTGATAAGACAGTAGAAAGTGGTAAATTATTCATTTAATCTTTTGTACTCCAACTAGCAGCTTTTTGAAATCTGTTATTGACTTACAGGATTTATAATTTTAATCATATACTACTATTACTATGATTTTTTGAGAGAATGACTTCACATAAGAGGCTTACGCAACTTTTTAAATGCAAACTGCCCTGTAAATCTGGAAAAAGCAGAATGCTTCAGTGTCTCTAACTCCACATGTACCTAACAGAGAAGGAGACAAAGTCATTTCTTCTCACAAATGCAAAGACATTCCTCCCTCTTTTGAAGTTTTAGGAACAGTCTCTCTAGAAAATGATACTGTTTTCACTAAAATTAGTGAAAAGCAAGTGGACATAACACACGAACATAAAATAAGGTTGGCATCTAAAAATGAGGTTTTTTTTCCTTTTCAGTTTTCACTCAGAATTTAGCACAATGCCTCCCTGCAGTTGAAAATCCTAACTTTTAATCTATCACTGAGACTATTCCACCTGTACTGGAGCCTCCACTGGTCACTTCTGGCTGTTAAAGATGCTGAACTAAGACTGCTGTGTTGTGACAGTGTTTGGGTTCAAACAGGTTTAAGTTGTACATCAGGTGCATTTGTTCTCTAGATGGGAAAGGAATTAACGTCCGATGTTGAATACTAAGGACCAAAAGAGTTTGAGTTTCCAAAATGAAACTGGATGCCTTACTTGAAAGTATGATTCAAATAATAATAAAGAGTATTAAGCAGTTGCAATACACCAAAATGAAGAAACAGCTATAATACAGGAGCTAACTCATAATTGTTGCTTTTTGCCTCTAAATTTGCCAGAATGGTTGTCTGTCAGCAGCGTCTTCAGGTATAGAGTTTTTTTTCCCTGCCTGCTTAGGCTTCCACTCATTCATGTATCCTGCTCCCTTTAAGCCTCCCCTGCTGTGCTGGTCCAGGAGGTTGCACAGCTCAGGTCTGTGAGATGAAGCCCTGTTTCAAATATGAGCCACTGTTCCTCAAGCAAGGAAACCTCAGGAGTTCTATTAGTATAAAAAAATTGTCAGGAAATCAGATACTGGCAGAAATAAGAAAAGTCTGGCAGAAGAACTGTGTGCTAATAGGAGATGAAAATATAGAAACAGAGCACAGAGCTCAATGTTTTAGCAAAAATAATCAGGCGTATAGTAAGGAAGATGTCATGCGAACATGTGGGAGTAAACGTGAAAACCAATAAACAGTGTGGGTTTGTTGAAAAAGTCTCTTGTAGATAACACTGAAAGAATGTAATATCTGGCTCGTGCATGTGTTTCAGATTTTACTCTAGAAAAGGAGCAGCACATACTGAAACTGAATTGAGTTAAGCTTAGAATGTGAGAGCATTAGAGGGTTATAATGTAGTGCCATAAAACAGTGATCTTTGGACATCCACAGGGATTTAAAAGCAATGCACTGTAGTACACTCCAACTATTGCAATAGCCCTGCATGTGTTTCAGAGATCAATACACTATTAAGGGGATACAGAAAAGCAATAACTAATGTGTTATTTTGCATATGTAAATATGAAAAATATCTTCATGAAACCCATATTTACTGCATGCACTACTTCACCTTCACTGCACAATAATTACTAAATGTGAAAAAAAATCCAGAAGATTGGGTATGGCTTAGTAGAAATGTCAAAAATCCATATTGTTTAAAATTTAATTGCTTACACTGCACACAGATCACATACATTGCAACAGTGATAAAGAATAGCAGATCCAACAGAAAAGGCATTTGAAGCTGTTAAAATCTAAAGAAAGTATAAAAGCCTCCAACTACAATGTTTTGGTGGTAAATACTTCATTCTTTTAATTTTTAGAAGCGAATAATTCAAGATATTCTCTCAGTAGAATGTCAGTATCACAAAGCTGTATGTTACTTGGGGAATTTTATATCACTGCGTGTAGTCAGAAAAATAAACATCTAGCAGCAGATTTATGTTTCAATAATTATCTATAAAAGCATTAAACCAAACTATGCTGATCCACTTTGTTTTGTCAAAGGTAGAACAGGAACTTAGAGTACACAATACAATTCCAACCAAAAGTACTAAAATGATTCACAAAAATACATTCAACTAGATCAAGACAAATAAAGACTTAAATATAACTGGAATACTACTGCAAAGTGTTTGTATACCGTTACAGCAACAAAAAGATCTATTTTTAGAATTAAAAGGAAGTTATGTACTTACAAAGAAACCATCAGAGCACTTGGTTCAAGTATTTTTTGTTCGTATGGAATGGTCTCATACACCATTTGGTATTATTTCTGCTTTCTGGAAAAGCATACAAACAAGTTTTTCAAGACTGCCACTGAGTGCTAGGCAGCATAAATGAATTTACATCTTCATCCTACAGATGAAAATGTGAAGTTCACAGTAAAAATATGGATTGAAGAACAATAAAGGACTGTAAAAACATCTCTTCGCCTTCAAAACAAAAATATGAAAGCACATAAAGAAAATTCAGGAGACTACCACTGATGTTCATTATTTCAATGTTTTTCTCCCCCCTGTGGAAAGGAACATTTTATATGGTATATTTATGCACCAATATACATTGCTTTCTTGTCTCAGCTGCTTCAAAAGGAATAATCTGTGCAGTATGCAAAAGAGGAACCCAAATGAGGTTTATTAATTCCATTTCAAATGTATGGTGAAGGTCTTACTGACTGAAAAGTACTTTAATCTTCAAGTATAGCCCCACAACACTGTAATGAGTTTCATAGATACTATAGAGTTCTCCTGCACAGTCTCATTCAGAGGTGAGATGCTTAATTATGTCAGAGAAAGCATGTACTGTAATAAAATACATATTGTGATTCAGCTTGAGCATTCCTTCCTGCTATGACATCCATCACTTCCTGATTTAACTCTAGTTTGTAGCTGCACCACACTTAAAGGGTAGCAGCATTTTGTTCAGTTCCAGAAAGTGGATTTGACAAAGATTAGTTGTCAAAGCTGATGGAGGAAACTGAAGCCATAGGAACAACTATGGAACACTGCTGTGAAAAACTCTTATAATGATGTCTGGGTTTTTTAAATTAACTGCCTATTTTAAAAATAAAATAAAAATCAGCAAAGTGTGCTAAAAGTATTTGTTTATACAAACATGTAAATACACCTCTTAATATTAACAGAAAACATGGGAAGGAGTGGAGCCAAGTCTTCAGTTCTTCTTATTTATAATTCAATAAAACTAGCGTATAATAAAACTTAATCAAATGCTCTCTGCCTAAATATGTTCAGGAAACAAAAAGACAAGAAATTCAGTAATTCAGTCATTCATATGAGAAAAGAGATTCAGGTCTCGAAATAACATTTTCAATTTATCCTTCCTGAAGTCAAAGAAAACAGAATTATTCTTAGTTGCATAGATAAATTCCAAAAATATGCAGAGCACTGCAATAACTATCTCCACAAGAGAGCAAGTGGCTTTCAAATGAAAGAATGTAGGGAACATTAGTCTCAGTTGATTGGTGTTTCTTTTGTTTTGACTTTTTTTTTTTTTTTTTTTACTATCTTTAACTGACATGTTACGTTCACAAGAATTAACAGCCTCCTGAAGAGGGACTACCAATAAGGTTCTGTAAATTATTAGGTTAATTCTGCTTGTGGGTCAGTGTCTGTACTGTGCTTGTTTGGGATTGCCTGCGTTATTTACTTATCTGGATACATCACTTCCCAGATGGAAGTTGGGTGGAAGTTAGAAAAGAAAAAAATATATTAAATAAGAAAAAATAAATTAAGCCAATTCCCTGTGTAAATAGAAATAGCTGTTGATATAGAATTACTAACTGCAACAGAAGACTCTCCTTAATCTTAACAGTAAATTAAGTAATAATTAGTCTTATGGCTATCCTACTGACACCTACAATTCCTTACTAGCCCGTCAGTCATTCTACAGATGCTGAAGAAGACAAGATGATAGAGAAGGATCCTAGCAAAGCAAATTTAAAAAATTTCTTAGAAAGGAAAGCAATTATACCAGTATTTCCAAATTATCCTGAATTCTGTGATAGAGAAACATCCTTGACAGACGCTATTATCATCTCCTCCTTATTCTTTTCACTGGTAAATGATCTCTGTGATAATCATACATAAGAAAATAACTTGCATGTATAAATTGACTCCAACAGCTCTTTTAATTGCAACTAGAACATCACCTACTAGATCGTGAAACAAACCAAGAGTTGTCCCAAAACAGAGTGTTACATCTGAAAAAGATGTGCTCTGAACACATCTAATGGTATTTTTTCTGTAACATAAAATGGTAAAAACAAATGAGAAACAAATAAATACTTTGAGGTAGTGAGTAGCTTTTTTCTTTTCTTTTTTTTTTTTTTTTTTAACTAGAAGTGTGCAAGAAAGCTCTGTAACAATATGACCTTCCTTAAGAACTCGCTAACATGCTACAAATAATGGAGATGCATTTCTTTGCTGAAAAGAGAAGAAAGTGAGATATTTGATAAAAACAAAATTATCCGTTGCAAATGTGCAGCACAAAGCACAACTTTAAATCTGTCAAGACTCAGATGCTAGACACACCAGTCCAAGGATAGAAGCATTGAAGACTAAGACTGCTCTTAAAAATCTTAATTCTGTCTTTGTCCCATTATAACTTAGAGTATTTACTCCATAAAACCTGTGAGCTAACAAAACTGCTCTGTGATCTTCGCACAAAAAAGATTTACTGATTAAGTGGGTAGGTATCTTTTAGTTGATAACTTATGTTAAAGACATCCAGCTTCATAAAATTTGGCTTCAGCAACTGTTTCTAAAAACAAAACTCCGTTACTTCCAAGCTTTCTCAACTTTCATAAGTCAAGCAACTGGGGGACAAATTACCCCACAGTATGTCTTATTTAATCTGACCTTTTACATGATTGAGCTTTTTCTACCTGTGTTTGGTCTCTTTCTACAATCTTTATTTGAGTGACCTTTATTTTTTCTGAAGTAGATTTTCTTTTCTGGCACCTGTTAAACATTTTATGAAACTACATGAAACAGTGTAGTGATAAGTGCAGAAAGGTGGGTGATGGAAATTTAAATTAACAGCATGAATATAGCCCTTGACATTTGACAAAAGATCCATCTACCTTGTCTAACTAAGACAAGAACTAACTCTAGACATGATTTGTAAACCCAAAGAAAAACAGACAATCATTGATTCACATAATTAAAGATTCAGGGAATGCTGGAAAAAAAAGGGGGGAAAAAAAGCAAGAGTATGATTGATGCATTGCATCAAAATGTATTTCTTAGAACTCAGGAGTGGGTTAGAAACAGACCCAGAACAAAGTTAAAATGAGTACAGTTTATTATACTGAAAATTTAGAGAGATTGATTTTTGACTTCCTATTAGATATGGAACATGAATACTATATCTAAGTTAGTGTGAAATTTGTTTAATTAGATAGGATGCAAGTTTAAGAGATTAACAATATATTTACTATACACCAGAAACACTTGCTAACTCAAAACCATCTTTACCTAAGCAACAAAAGGGGACACTGCATAATGTACAATTAACAAATGCGCAGTTAGAAGAATGTACAGGATGGTGTTTTACAGGCTTATAGTTATAAAGATTATCGTGGTGGAAAGAGACAAAAAAAAAATGAAATGCTCACCTGCATCCCAGACTTGCACTAGAAAACTCCAAAAGGAAGTGAAATGGGAGAACATCCTGATGATTTTACTACTCTGTAATCATTCTGTCTTAACCTCAGATCAAGCATGAAGCCGTGCTGCACAATTAAATGATAGCAGGTTCCACTGTTAAATGCTACCACAAGCAAACAGCAATTTGTTATGATTACAATTCTAGGGCAGAAGAAATAAGATTTTTTCAGATTGTATTTTACAAGACAGACCAACTTGCCTGTATGCTTCTCAAAGACAGAATAAACAAATAGAATCTGCTACCTGGTATTTGTAGATAAGAAAAAGCATTTCATTCAGTGGGAAAACACTGAATATCTGATTCAATATAGACAAAGGTTGCTTTTAGCTCTTGAGAAATGGTGTAATCAGTCTTTATCACAGTCTTTGTCAAACAAACTTAAGAATTTGCATTATAGATCTTCAGAAGTTTCTGCTTCTCTCCAGTATTCCTAAAACCTTTCTTGAGAACTTAAATTTGCAATTCAGACACAGCGCAGATGTCAGACTTGTACCATTAACATACCTATCGAAATCAGAATAAAGCACAATAGGCCATGTGAAGCATTTTAAAGAAACTTTCCCAAAACCATAAATGGAAATGCTGCAAGAGAGATTCCTACTTAGGAATATAAAGATTTGTTTCTCTACCAGTTTTTTGAACTTGTTATATCACCTGAATAAATCCCTAAGTACCTAGAAACTGAAGAGGGACAAATTAAGGAGGGTGAAAGCCATCCCTCCTGCTTCACTGGTCAACAGATTTGTCTCTCCTCTTCAAATGAATGATTCCAATTTAAGTGCTACTAACACTAGGAAGGCACGCTTGCCTTCCTTCATACTTCTTGTAACAGATGTAGGATTAGGCTTTCTAGCTAGTTATCCCTAACTGTATATCTGTGAGGCAAAGATTTCTACATACAATATTCATCCTGTACCCTCAAATGTAGTTAAGTAAGTAAATATTGTGCTAAAAATTATCTGGGAAGCACAGAATAATATTTTGTGACAGGAATGTAGTTACAGGGACAGAAAAAGTTATCAAGTCATTAATCCTTAGGTATAAAATATTTTATACCACCCACTTCAATCCTCCCTGCTTTTTTTTTTTTTTTTTTTTTTTTTAAATAAGCTCTTAGTTACACACATTCTATTCAATGAAAATTCTCTGGAAAGCAGATATTTATTCTATAGGCACAGTTTTTCCAAGATGGAAAACTCCATTTCATCGTCCTCTGAGAACACATAAGAAACACCTATTAAAAATCATTTGAAGTGAGAAAGCAGCAGCAGATCTACTAGTTTTTTTAGCTAGATGGATACCAACATCATTTAAGGAAATTAAGAATCCCATAAAAAAGACTTAAAACCTCAAGGAAAACAATTACCTGCATTACAGTAAGTAGAAATTCCGTCAGTCAGTGGCTTGCATTTGGTAGATACAATAAGAGGCAATTTTGGTAACATGCAATTCATTACCATAAGCACAATAGAGAAAACCTTAATCCTCAGCCTGATATAATGGAAATTACAGAAGAGATTTATAGCAATCTCAGATTTATAGCAGTCCCAGATGGTTAGCCAAGGACTGAGAGAGAGAATAATCTAAGCATTGCATAATCTGCCTTCGTAGAGATAGATTTAGGCCCACTCTAGTATAATGAATGCAGACATGCTGTAGTTGAAATAATGCCTGAGCACTTCACAAGCTGCTGGATGTTATAAGCAGTGCTGATTAGTTCATCTTCTAGATCATTTTACTTTTTTAGCATAAGGGACAGTGTAATTAATGAATATACAGGTGTTATAATTAAGAAATACACAAGAGAGTTTGGCTAAGCAGGTTATTACATGAAAAAGAATAGATAGAGAGCTCACCCCTGTCCTGAGCTTGCTGGAAAACTCCAAAAGGAGGGATCTCCAGAAAGAGATCCTTCCCTACTTGTAGTCAGCTCTAAATGGGATGTAGGAGAGGTGCAGCCAGGCTCTACCCCTTCCGGCAGCACAAGTGAATTACCTTCACCTGTGCTCCCAGGGCTGACTCATTGCTTCTCAGGTGATTGATCAGAGGTTCAGGCTGTGGTTCAGCAGTTCCCATACAGGAACAAAATACAGTGGCATCTATATCTGATATTTAGAAGATAACTGACCAGAGGTTAGGGTCCTCATGTTATGCACAGGAAAACCGGCAGTAAGAGAAAGCAAAAAAACTTTGCCAAGATTACACAGCTGCCTAGGAGTTAGGAGCAGAAGCCAGGTATGATTAAGCTGACGCCTAGCCCATCGGATCAAGTTGTCTTAGGTCATTTTTCAGTCATTATATGCTTAAAGAACCTAATTTCATAAATGCAGGATTTTTCCCCACCTGTGAAGCTAAGAACAACTTTTGTTGTGTTGAAAAGTTTTGGAAGTTTTAGACTCTTCTCCTAGAGTTTTGTTATACAGAATATAGAAGGAGTCTTTGTGGAGCATCCTTCTTTGGCACGTACTTTTTCCTCTTTTTCTATGTGCCATTTCATTAAATGGAACTTTCCCTGTTGCTAACAGTGTCTCTTACTGACTGCATCACAGGGTCGAACCCCTAATATTTAACCAAAATATCTCCCTGCTGCCTCTGATCTCTGCTTTGCACCAAGTAGCAAGAAATTCCTAGTTCAAGTACCATGTCTGAATCACAGAGGTAGGCAGCACAGAAATCATCCACTTGTTGCTGATATGCAACAAGGAGATAGACAAATGCTGTAATAGTTTCCATCTTCTTCACTCTTTGTCTTCTCTACAGTTCTGCTGCTCCCTGGACCTCATTTTATGGGTGTAAGGAGTAGTCTGCCACATATGTCTTTTTGCAAAAAGGAGCTGTGACATCTAGGAGCATCTGACATCTAGGAAGAAACTAATGTAGGGAAAGATTAGGACCTCTAGGAGTAACAGCAGGAATTTAAGAAGCCAGAAGCACTGTGCAAGTCAAGCTGCTAACTGTACGTTAGGTATACTAGGGAAATGCCTGCCTGGGCAGGAAGCTTCAATATTAAAAGAGACTGAGTAGGAAATGTATAACCTCATATTGAATTGCTAATTTAAGAGAGATGATTCTTCTCCTTGGGGCCACCCTTTCTTCCTTCTGAGTAGTATGTTGCTTAATCCAGAATGACTACTTGTGAAGTATAGATATTTGCAAAATGAAGGTATTACAATCTGACATAAACTATACAACGCTGATCCCATGGGGTAGCTTTTATTGTATATGTACAAAAGGACACAGGACAAATAAAAATAATATCTTTGTTTTCATGACTACAGTCTTAATGATAATCAAGTGGTTTATTGGAGACTGGCATTATTAAGGTTGTATAATCACGTTGTGTTGATTACAGTGTTCCACACACTATGGTCAAGTATAGAGTGCTGAATTTAATACCATACAGAACATTGGATTTAATGCTGAGTAATGACATTGCACATAAAATTTATTGTGCAATTTACAGGTGAACTTTTATGATATCTTCATTTCTGTCTTTAAAGAAAAAAAATATATGTTTTATTACCTTTTATTACTTAAGAAATTGACCTATAATAGCATTAAGCCAAGCAAGGTGCAAACTACTGAACAGATGTAATCACACCATTTACATCTACATCCCTAGTCACTGGACATGAATTAATGTACTGACAGACTTCAAGGCATTATCACATCATCTAATCTGATTTCCCATATTTCATAGAATCATAGAATGGCTTAAGTTAGAGGGGACCTTAAAGGCAATCTAGTTCCAACTACCAGATAAGGCTGCTCAGGATCTCAACCAAACTGCTGTTGAATGCTTCTGCGGATGGGATGTCTACAACACCTATGGGCAACTTGTTCCAGTGCTCCATCACCCTCTAAATGATGCTAAAGAATTTCTTCCTAACACCTAACCTTAATCTCCCCTGTTTTAGTTTAAAGTCATTACCCTTTGTCCTATCACCATGAGACTATACAAAAAGTAATTCTCCCTCCTGCTTATATTCCCCTCAACAACCAGAAGGTCATACTGTTGAGTCCCTGGAGCCTTCTCTTCTCCAAGAGAAACAAGCCTACCTTCTTCAGCCTTTCTTTATAGGAGAGGTGCTCCAGACCTCTGATCATCTTTGTGGCTCCAACAGCTTCACATCTTTCCTGTGCTGAGGGCCCCAGGCCTGGGCACAGTACTACAGATAGGAAGAGCAGAATAAAGGAAGACAATCACCTCCCTCTCCCTGCTGGTCACACCTTTTTTGATGCAGCCCAGGATACTGTTAGCCTTCTTGGACTGCAACTTCACACTGCTGTCTCATTTTTATCGAATCAAAATCATTTTTATTTGCTGCATGCAAATGATCAGCATTCTACTGTAATTGATAAAACAAGAAAAAGCACTTCAGTCCTTCTCCAGCCGAACTTCAAAACTGTTCTGCTGCTTCCTGTGACTCACTCATTATAACTTCCACTTGGCTCTGGTCTCTGAATTCAATCAGGGACTGAGATCAACAAGAACTGAAAAGGAAGCTCAGTACCATGATAGATAGCATTGTGTTTGCAACAAGGTGAGTGGTAGAAACCAAAATGGACCAGGATAGTTGTTAATATTGAAAATGAAACAAAAATAAACGAACAGTAAATAATAATAATAAACAAGCATCAATTTCATTTGTAATTTGACTTCTCATGACAAGACAATGGTGACTATTCCTACATTATTTCTGCAACCTCTTCTTAAAACCTTCTCTCCTGGCTGCTTCAAAGCTTCCACTACTATGTGATAAAAACCATCTTCACTTTAAGGACATGTTTCATGCTTGCTGCCTAGAATAGAGAAAATAGTTAATTAAGTTCTCACTGCAGCTAACTTCCAGTTACTTCAATATTATCACCTTGCCCTCATTCTGTTTCCTTTGAATTCCAGAATTCATTACTTTCAAAACTTCTTCACATCTCACCATTTCCTAAACTACCTACCATTTTGTCATTTAAATTTTCTAGACATTGTTCCCCTAGACACAACTTCCAAGAATTGTGACGAAAAAAAGTTAGAAACAATAAGGTTTTACAGCTATTGATAAAGCAATAGGTCAGTCTTATTTCTTTCCTCTGCTGATAATCAGCATCAGTGTGCTATGTCACTGCTTACCATTAAGCACAATTTCCAGAAATACCACAATATTTTTCAGAGAACTGTGCATGTGATACAAAATATAAGGTCACACATAGTGCAGATTTATAAAAAAAGATTTATATCAGTATTAGAGAACATTCACCAATATTTACAATCATTACCAAAATTCATTCAGATACTATTTTATAGACTGGTGAAAAGTTATTTTTTACATTCATTCAATTAGCGGTGGTAAATTTGAAAAGATGAATTGGTAACAGATTCTAAATCTACTACTGTCACATATTACGTGGCATTAATTATTCACTTTTTTGGTACACATAAATCTTTAAGTGTGATATGAACTTAACCTTAACCGTGAATATGTTGTTTCCTTTTGTGTGATATTCTCTATTTTATACGTTACTTGATCAAGTGTATGACTTTACGTAGTTTTGAGTCTCCATAGACTCTCCACATAGTAGAGCCATCACTCTATTTCTACCAAATCAAAGCAGCATACCTATGAAAATATTACCTATGTCATCAGAAACACATCCAAATGGAATGAAATGTTACCACAATTCCACTTGCTGCACTAAAGATACAAAAGTTACAATTTCTCAGGACGAAATTAACAATTTTCTATGGCATGATTATAGATTTATTTACAACACTTACAACAGAAGTCTTATGTGGATAATGAATTCCACAGTTCTAACATATGCTGTGCTATTTGCTGCATAATGCTGTAATTTTACCCTTTCCCACAGTTTTAAAAATAATCATGGGATAGTTTTTCGGTGACATATTTTCTCCGCCATCTTCAGTCTTTAATATCATGTTAGGTACAAGGCCTTGCCTTTAATCTTAAGACACTATTATTAATATTAATAGAAGAAAGACAGTTACTACTTTTCTTATAAAATTCCATTGATATAATGAGCTCTCAAATGAAATGTGACATATTTTGTATGATCAGATTTTCAGTGAGTTCTTGTACTTTAACGGGAAAATTCTTGTCTGTTTTTTTCTTCACAGACATAACTTTATCACGTACAAAAAATGCAGAAATCACTACTAGCTTAGAAACTTTCCAAGCTGTAGTTGCCTTGTAGCCAGAAAAATAATGAAATACAATAACACAATTGCCTCGGTCATACTTTCTCAAACATTTATTTCCCTTGCCAACTCCAGCCTCTATCTGAAACAGGACAGTAGGTTGGATAAATGTTTATCTTGATCCAGTACAACCTTTTCATTATATCATTATTCCTTAGCTAAAATACTGACTTGCAAAGTTGTAACATGAATTTCTCTCAGGAACCTTTCTATATAGAAACTCAGTTTGCCCAGTAACCACCAAACCTTGTCTGCATTTTGATCTGCAACAGAATACTTAATGAAATCAGATTGACCAATCATTAGTATGTTTTACGTATATTTCTGAAGTTTCTTAAGGACTACTTATCTGTGAATATGAGAGCCTGACATTTTTCACAGTATACTTACCCATAGATTACATCTACCAAACTCCCACATTTGTCAAGAAACCTTTCTGGCACAGCTCACTCTTGCTCTCATTGGAATTCATGTCAATCATCAACAGAAGCTGAATCAAGACCGCACAGTGAAACACTATGCTAATGACAGAAAAGTGAAATTATAGCTGCTGTTCTGTTGAGGAGGAAAAGGTCGCTGACCGCAAGAAAGCTGAACTGAGCATCCTGCAAATACTGTAGCACATGTAACAATGGCATGTTTCAGTTTGACTGTCTTCAGTATTTCTCCATGTTGTCCTTTGATTT